CACCGGGTAAGGAACTGAGTAAGGTTCTCAGACTCCCTCTGCCCGGCTGTACTAAGATAGGTGAATTTCTTCCTCTTAGTACAATTCTCCTGGAACTTGGCCTTGAATTTTGAGGCCAAATCACTGAACGAGTCAATGCTTCCCGGGCGAAGCTTATTGAACCATTCAGTGGCTCGGTTCCGCAAGGTCTGGAAGAAAACTAGGCACTTTTCTTCATCGGTGCAACCGTTCATGGTCGCACTCTGGTTGAAGGAGTCCAGATGGATTTCCGGATCTTCCTTCCCGGTGAATCTGGGGGCGTCGATCTTAACCTTTCGCGGGAAAGGTGTCAAATGGACCCTTGTGGTGAACGGGGACCCTGCTAGGGGTTTGTCCTGGTCATTCTTCTCTCCGACCTTCTTCTCCAGCCTTTCTAGTTCGCCACCGGTAACCTGGGCTGACTCTCTGCTTCCTCTTCCTGACGAGAGGCCCTCGTCCTTGCTAGCTCCTGCCGGTTAGACCGGGAGCGCCGGGTGCGGGCAGGCTCGGCCTCCCGCACCTCGCCTAGCCGGGCGAACGCGCTGACATGGGCAACACTCTGCCCCAGCCTTTGCTTGGCTGACTTCCTCTGGCCTTCCTCCTTATCCCCCAGCCTTTCGAAGGCGGAGTTTCGGGAGGTCGCTGGCCGGATGTTTTTTCCTTTCTTCTTCTTGTGGGCCCTTGGAACGTCCCACTCGCCGTCATCGTTCTCAATTGAGACGCAATGACCATCAGGGGTGACCTGCGGATTCGTACCCTGCGGGGGACGCGACGGCCCTGCAGCGTTAAGTGCGCCGGTCAAGTTGACAGGGGCCATGGTGCTGACCAGCTGGGGCTGAAAAGGTGATGGCTGCGGCATCGGCGTCTGGAACGACGTCACCGCCATCGGAGCTTGTAGGGGCATGGTTCCCGCGCCTGGAAGGGCGAATGGGAACATACCACGGAGGAAAGGCATCCCCCCGCTCTGCTGGCACATGGCCATGACCTGGCCAAAGCCCTGGATGGCTTGTAGGTTGGCTGGGTCATTCATGAACTGAGCCATGCTTGGTGGGAATGTAACCCTCGGTCCAGCGGAAGGGACGGAGGTCGCGAAGGGACTGATCACGCTGGCTGTCGGGACAGAGCTCAGACCCAAAGGCAACACAGGGGCCGAAATGACCGGTATGGTAGCAGCCACAGGGATGCTGGTGCCCTCATTGGTGGCCTGCACCTGAGCGGAGGTAGCGTTGATCTGTTGGCTGGAAGACATTTCGAGTGGTTTTCTTGTGGGTAGGTTTTAGAAGAGAAGAAACCTTGACGGTCCCACGGATGGCGCCAAAAATGATGGTGTAAATTACTTGACCGGTCAAACGATACTAGACCGGGTCTAGAATAGTTCGCTTGATTTGGCAAAGTAAGAAAGGTAAAAACACGCAGATTGACCGGTAGGACTTTAGGTGGAACACCTGTAGCCCAATTTATATTATAACGGAGAATGCACAGGTGCTTTTACAAGGGAGTTTAGAGGGAATGAATTCGGATCCCCCTTTCTGAGGTTTACATGAGTATTTATACTAGGCTAGGGGGACAGGACCACGTGCGCCCACGTGGGGGCTCGATGCTGATGTGGTGCGAGATGACTGGTTTCGTCCTTGAGCTGCCTTGTCGCCTTGTGAGGGGGATTATTCCCTCTGTCGAGTA